TGCCTCTGAACACACCCTCATGTTGAGCGTCAGCCTGTGATGCACCCAAGTGTTGCCGGGGCTGCTGGTTCGATTCTGGGGTCAGGGCACCTGCCTAGGTTACGGGTTGATCCCCGGTCTCCAGAGTGGCGAAGGCAGCGGATCGATGTTTCTCTCTCTTCTTCTTCCCCTCCCCCCTCTCTCCTCCTCTCCCCTTTCTTCTCTCTAAGCATATCCTCTGGTGAAGAGGCAGCCACTGGTCTCTTTCCCTTTCCAGTAAGGTGACCCCCCTGAACCTTAAATGGGGAGTAACAGTACCCAACCATCCTTTGATATTGGGGTGATTTGGGGATTAAAGGAGCCAGCCAGGGTTTGGAAAGCCCTGGGATGCCTGGCACCTGATAATGTTCAAACAGCATTAGTGGTGGTGAGAATGCTAAGATTATGGAGCTCCCAGTGTTCCAGTTTGGGTGGCCCCGGAACCCAGACTCTCCTGGCAAATATTTCTATAGAGCCACGCAGATGTGAAGGCTAGACGGGACCCTTGCTTCAGAGCCTGCATTTCTCCTTCATAACCTGCACTGCACTTGTCATTTCTTTTTCAATTCCTTCACAGACTGTTGTGCTCAGCAGGCACAGTCCTCTTTTCTTACCTTTAATCCCTAGCACAGTGCTTGGTACCTAGAAGGTACTCAATACATATTTATTGAACTAGTCAACAAAGGAATAAAATAAAACTCAGTGAACTACTATTGAAATATGTATCTGTGCCTCCATTCATTTGTCATTTCATTCATCATTCTGTTCACCAGTCCATTTATTTACTCCTCTATCATCATTCCATCCTTCCACTTATTCAGCCATTCATTATCCATCCATTTGTCCTTCCATATGTCCTTTCTCATCATTGGGTCCCCAATCGGTCGAGCACCAGCTGTAAGACCAAGTGGCCCCAAGTGGGTAGTGTCCTAGTGCAGGGTGGGGGTGTGTTCAGAGGCAGGCAAGCAAGGTTTGGGGCTTCTGTCGGAGATGAGGAAGCGATCAGCAGACCTGGTGGAGGTAGGGAGGGTTAGGTATTTCTCAGGGCTGGCACATGGTAGGGGGAAGGGGTGTATGTGTTGTGGTGGGGTGTGAGGTGTGGAGACCTTTACCAAGCACCTCATACACTTATAAAAACTGTTCTGAGCCAGACTCACCCAAACAACTGCAGGGACCCAAAAGGAAAAATCAGTGCCTGAAACAGGAGCTCAGAGGAACAACAGAACCAGACCTACACAAGGTGTTCCCTAGCCCCACCTCAGATCCCTCACCTGACAGCCTCCAGGCTCCAGTGCCGCGATATGGACACCCTGGACATCCTAATTACACAGCTGTGTGTTCCTGGTCCTTCTATCAGCTTCCTTTCATAGTCTCACCCACCCCTTTGTTGCCATGGCAACAGGCTGGGATCTAATTAGCCATCTTTAATGAAACAGCAGCAAGCAGTGCCTTTGGCACCAATCCCCACCCCCTTCTCCAGGCTGGGCGCCCACATATCTTTAGATTTCTTGACCTCAGGACCTTGTTCAAACCCTGCCTCCTATAGGAAGCCCTCCCTGTACCCCCGAGGCAGCAGTGACTCCCTCTGCTGAGCCTTCTGAGTGTGGTCTGAGAGCTCCTAGATACCAGCCAGAGTGGATTTATTGCTGCAGGGCCAGGCCTGCTGGAGCTGTTGAGGGAATGGATACACCTCACTTACGAGCCCAAGCTATGCCTCCCGCCACCCCCCCCAACTACTCAGGAAATGAGGCCCTATACAGCTGGAGAGGGTCAGGTGGGGGAAAGGGTGTTCTGAATGGAAGCTAATGGTGGATTAAATAGCTATAATGATCGAGCAGTGGACCAGCATGCTGGTATAGGATTATTTTTGGTTCCTGGCTGTTTGGATTAGATCAAGAGGTGTGTCCATCCTCCTTGCTCAAACCGTAACTCAGTCAGTTGGCCTGGCTGTCCCAGTGTCTGCCCCCTGTGTCCAGCCCTGAGAGGAGAGGGAGGAGGAGCAGGCCTCACCCCCGGGAAGCCCACAGTCCATCCCACTGGGAGGGTAAGAGGCAGAGGACTCACTGGTTTTCTTGGTCCAAACTGGAGGCAGAGGAGGACCCTTGTTCCTGCCTCCCAGGGGCAGATGGGGCTGGGCAAGAACCCACTCCCAGAGCAGGATGTGCTGACCAGACAGGCTGTAGGTGCTGAAGTTCATGCTGCCAGTGCACAGATTGCTAGGCCCCACTCCAGAGTTTTAGATCAGTAAGTAGGGGTTGGGGGAGCTGAGAATTCCTAATATATTTCCAGGAGGCATGAAGCTCTTGGTCCAGGGACCACACTTGGAGAACGACTGCAGAGTGGGACCAGAAGGGCAGTTTGTACAGAGCACACGCTCATGCCTTCATTCATTCTTTTAAAAAATATATATTTTTATTGATTTCAGAGGGGAAGGGAGAGGGAGAGAGAGATAGAAACTTCAAGGATGAGAGAGAATCATTGCTCGCCTGCCTCTTGCACACACAGACACACCCCCACCGGGGATTGAGCCTGCACCAGGGCATGTGCCCTGACTGGGAATTGAACCGTGACCTCCTGGTTCATAGGTCTATGCCAGTGATGGCGAACCTATGACACGCGAACTCATTTTTTTGTGGTTGATTTTTCTTTGTTAAATGGCATTTAAATATATAAAATAAATATCAAAAATATAAGTCTTTGTTTTACTATGGTTGCAAATATCAAAAAATTTCTATATGTGACACGGCACCAGAGTTAAGTTAGGGTTTTTCAAAATGCTGACACGCCGAGCTCAAAAGGTTCGCCATCACTGGTCTATGCTCAAGCACTGAGTTACGCCTGGCCAGGCCCTTCATTCATTCCTTCATTCAGCAGATTGAGTCAACAGTCACTGTGGGCCAGGCCCTCCTGGAACCTAGGGGAAACAGAGAAGTTCGCCCATCACTTATGTGGCACAAACTTAGCACTTGGCGGGCACCTCTCAGGTGTCAGGCTCTGCCGCCAAGTGCAGCCTCTGGGAGCATCCCCCACCTGTGGTGCTCCCTGCTTTGGGGTCTGCTGCCAGGTATGGGTCACACTGGTTCTCTCGGGGAATTCTCTGGTCCTGTTTTGACTATTGGCTACTTGGGAGCTGTCTATTGGGGAGTTAAATTTTTAGTGTTAGATATTTTGGACTCTGAGCTGGCCAGTGCTGCCAGAGCCTGAGTCCTGCCTTCTCAGGAGAGGATGAGGAATAATTCCCTTGGATGGGTTGGGGGTGGACTCACCCGGCTGAGGGCTGAACGGGGGGCGGGGAGACAGTGGGGCAGAGGGGGATAGGAGACTGAAAGGGCCAGCAGGAGAGGTTGAGCCTATACCATGGGGATGCCAGGGAAGGTTGTGGGCAGGAACTTCGGGCTGGCTTGCTGTGTGAGGAGAAGGGAAAAGGAAGAGTTAATGGGGGTTGTTTATTAGCCAGCGCTCTGTGCAGAGTGGGATGGCCCAGGGGTAAGCTACAGTTCCCAGGGATGGGCATCAATCTGGCAGTTGCTCAAATGTAAATTACAAACAGTGACACCTGGTTAAGAAAAACTGAGAATCTGAGAGCAAGTGCACCTGACCTAATCTGTGGATCAGGGAGGGCTTCCCTGAGGAGGTAACATTTGCACTAAGACAGTCTTAAAAGAAAAGAAAAAGTGCTCCCGAGGAGAGGGAAAAGGCCTGGGCCAAGCCCCTGAGTGAGGCAGGAGAGTCTGGTCTGCTTCTACAAGTTAAAACAGAAAGGATGAAGTTATTAAGCAGGGGCGGGAGGCGGTGGATGGAGAGAGTTCGGATGATGGAGTCAGGTCTCCACTGTGCAGGAAATCCAGCTACAGGCAGGTTTGAAGGAGGGAGTCAGTTGAGGGTTTGGTGAGCGTGGGAGCTCTCCGTACACAGGGAAGCATGAAGTCTGAAGCCAGCCAGAGCTGAGGCACAGCAAAGGGTTCCCCCCAGTCAGCTGCAGGGTGTACCAGCGGCCCCCTGGTGGGGGGTGGGAGCTGGTGCCAAACAAGTTCACCCCGCGCCCCCCTCCCCCGTCCTGGTTAAGGGGTCTGGGATAGGATCTGACTACCTGGGATTTGAGGGGGTGGTGGTGCGGGGTGTAAATGCCTGAGCCCCTCCCCGTGGGGGTGGGTTGTGGGGGGTGGAGAGGGGTAGGACTGAACTCTCTAGGACTATTTCCACTACAGGACACTGGTCGGCTGGCTGGGGTGGGAGGAGGGATACTAGGGGTGGGCCCTTTCCCTGGTAGCCCCTCTGTCAGGCTCGCCAGGGGAGGACAGTGTCCGTGCTCAGGCGTCTGTGTGCATCTCTAAATATGTCTGTGTCTGGCTATAGTAGTGTGAACATGGAAACACGTGTGCACCTGTGTGCTGCACAGGGTCGGGGTCATGCTTGTCAGGGTTTAGGTGTGTACAGGACTATGTTGATGTCTGTGCTCTTGGCTCTCACCCACGCGTGGGTACGAATCTAGGCAGGAGAGCAGGTGTCCATGTATGTGGCCTGTTCTGTGTAGGTATGTGATGCCCTGTGTGTGCCTCCGTGGGGACAGGTGTGGACAAAAAGTGCGTCACCGAGTGCACTCGCCTTTGCCCGTGGGCGTGCACCGACTTGTGTGTGCTCAGAGGTGATGTGTCCGCTGGACCGGAGAGACCCGGTTGGGCCGCGCTGTGCGTTTGGGGGGAGACGGGCCGCGCAGAGGGCGGGACTTCGCCCGCCACGCCCCACCCCCACCCCCGCCCCGGCCCCCTTCAGCCCCCCGGAGCCGAGCCGCTGGCGCCAGGCTCGCGGGCGCGTTGGCTGAGCTGTGGAGGTAACAGCGCCGCCGCCGCCCCGCCGCCGTAGCGATCAGATCGATGCTGGAACTGACGCTGTGACCGCACAGCGGCAGGGCCGAGCCCCCGGAGGGAGGGAGGGAGGGAGGGGCCCCGCCGACCCCGGCGTCCCCGCCCGCCCGGTGGCAGGTCGGCCGTATGCTGCAGATGGTGAAGACCCTGGCCCAGTTCACCATCGCGCTGGAAGACATGCGCGATCTGGGCCCGGCCGCCGCCTCCGGGGAGCCCGCCGAGAACAGCAGCGCAGACGCTGAGGAACCTGGGGAGGCCCAGGTACCGGGAGAGGGAGGGGCAGCCAGGCACTTGGGCCAAGGCCTAAAATCCATCTGACCCAGGACTGGGGGAGACATGGACAGATGCTGGGGCGAAGGACCGGGGGACATAGGATCAGACACATCAGCTGCCTGACCCGGGGGTTGGGGGCTCCGTGGCAAGGGATGGGGGCAGGGAGGATTGGAGGTATGTGAGGAGCCGGGGCAGCGGTGGTGTGGCTGCAGAGCACGGAGGGTTGGTGCCACCAGGATGCAAGCTTAGGATGGCAGAAGGGCTGGCAAACTCAGCTGGGATGGGAGGCCTGCACCCTGAGACCCAGCCTAGCGAGACCTAGTAGTGCTTCACACAGTGATATGGTCAGCAGTGAGCGACCCTGGCCTGGGTGGCCTGGGTCCACGGCTCAAGAAGGGGCCTGAGGGAGTCTGCAGGTGTGTGTATGTATGTGCTAGTATGTGTGTGTGTGTGCTAGTATGTGTGTGTACTAGTATGTGTGTATGTGTGTACTAGTATGTGTGTATGTATGTGCTGAGAGGGGAGAGGGCGCCCTGCCACTGCACCCACAGGCCCTGGAGGTGTCCCGCTGAGGTGTCCGTTCCTGGGTCAGCATGTGCTCCCTCCGGAGGAGAGGAGGCTTCAGGGGCTGTGTCCATGGCTTTGTGTGTCTGGGCCTGGATCCATCTGCTCTCCCAACTCCAGTGGGGGCTGTGGTTCTGTCTTCCTTCCTGTGCTATGTTGTATGTTTCTCTCTCCACTACCTCGTCTTTGGGCTGAAGGCCCTGGTTCTCAGCTGGGTGACTTGGCTGCATTTTTTGTCTCTTTGTGGAGTGTCTGGCCTTTATGGCTTCTCTCTGCATGCATGTGTCTCTGTCTTCATGCCCTGTTTATTGGGGCCTCGGGTTTGGGTCATGATGTCCCAGGCACACAGGTAGGAGG